CAAAGTGCTCTGCATGAAGTCCAACCTGCTGTCTATGTGCGCATGCAGTGACAGCATGTTGTTTCTCAACACTTTCATGGGCTCATTCATTCCAGAGTCGTCCATGCCCTCTAACTCAACCTTGTCAGCCGCTAACGTTTCAAGCCTGGCTGTTCTACTCTTTATCTCTCTTTCTCTATCGGTAGCTTCTTTCAATTCCTTCTCTAATTGTGCACGGATCCTTTCGACCTGCTGGAGCTCCCTCATCTCCCTTTCGCGAGGAGTCAACGGGCTGAACTGCGAGCCCGCCATTTGACCTGTACACTGTCTAGAACCTGATGAACTGGAAGTGCCCGCGGACCCTGTTGGCATTCCAAACTGGGGTCCAGACGAGAACGCAACTGAAGTTGCGGCGGAGGATGCTGCTGAAGAAGTCATGGTTGTTGCCTTGGCTGCAGCTGTTCCCTTGCTGCAACGTTTGCTGCCTCTCTCGATGCTACGAGAGCACGGGCTCTCCGTTCGGCACGAAGCCGTCTTTCTTCTCCCTCGTGTAGGGTCCTGAACACGTACGGGATCCTAATTGATCTTGCACGTGTTAGTCTACTATCGTCAACTCCCTCCTCATCGACGTCTGATCCGTTCATTAATTAGACAAACATTATCTGCACTAGAACCCCCTAGTGGAATCCTACCGCAGCATGTGTCTGACCGGCACCTAATTTTCTAGAAATGGTTGTGTCCGGCAAGTCCCCTACTGTACCGATCAAGTGGCATGTCTACAACATTCACAAAGATTGTCTACATAGTCTCAATGCACTTTGACTTGTTCACTTACAGCAGCACAAGATAGAACTGGCTATGGTAGTATACTTCAGTCCTACTCTAGTCTGTCTGTGAGGTGTTAGCAGTCTGTCCACCAACTAATCAAAAGTACAAAAAGACCATGTAGCAGATGTATGATTGATGGGTATAGTTGTGTATTCAGTTGAGCACCAATTGGAATCTACCCTTCCCCTCAATCCAACCATCCGGACAGCATCTTGAGCAAAGCAGTGTGTTCGTGTGTGTATCGGCCCACCCCTGTGCCCAAGTTGTCACCGAGCAAGCCAGCCCAACCACTCTTATTTACCCTCGTACGGCGACGAGCATTCCTGTCCATGTGATCTGGCTGATCAGGAGGTATTTATACAGCTCCCCCATCTCTTCAGGAATTCTTTAACGTCGCAGTCAGGATGACGATCACAGCCAGATTCACAATGAACTCCCAACCAGAAATATTTATAGACGGTCTGGTAAGCGCCTGTCATGGGCTGGCACACCCGGAGGAACTTCTATTAGCGCAGCAAGTGCCAAACAGGACAGCAGCCATCGCATGCGTGTACTACTCCCTGTGGGTTGGCATGGTGACTGTGACCCAGTGCTTCGACCAGGGCCCTTCAGAGGCACCGCCCTTTCTCCTTCCAGATGCTTCCGGGAAGATTGTCGTCTCTCAAGGTAGCGCGCTCACGACACCTCACCAAGGAGAGGA